CTACAAGAAGTTCTATCACACATGGCCGAAGACCCCAAAAACACAACTTACAAGCTAATGTGGACAATTCTATCTAGATTGAGAGTATTCACTCATGCTACCTAAAAATAGATGTCAATTGGACCAATACTGATGCAGCGGAAAAATAAAAATAAAATAAAATAAATACGATATTGACCCTAAAAATGCTGGGAACTAAAAATTAATACTTGTTGATACAACCAAATACCAATACCAATTTGCTTATTCAAGACTGTTAGAATTCATGTTGTATTGACAATTCTTTAGATAAAAAGATTATTCTAAAAGAATATAATTGTTATAAAAGAGTTGTAATAGTCAAACAGTCTTTTAGAGTGTTGTATAAATGAATTAGAGGTCTTTTGGTTTGAATATGGAACAAGGAGTAAGAGTCGCTGGATTTATGTTAGTTTGTCGCTCGACTCTCGCTCAAGCGACACAACTCTCGCTCGCCTGTCACTAGCTTGACGCTCGAACGACGGAGTTTTCTGAAAGATTCTAGTTTGTATTTTTCAAGAGTTCTATCTATCATATACTACCTAAATACATTTTATTATAAATACCCAATGCCTAGTACTTTTTGTATTTGGTTGATCATCATTATACATCCTTATATCATTATTCCAAGATCCAAGAACATATTCAAATATTGAGATTAAACCTTTGATTCTTGAGATCAATCAATCACAAGTTGGGAAAAACATCAAAGTCAAATAATCCAAAACACCAACTTCCTAGATATCATCGGGAAGGTAATTTCTCAATAGTTTTCAGAGGTTGCTGGTGATTGAGAGAGGTCAGATCGCAAGCATAGGAAGAGTATAAGAACAATGTGTTCTTGGTGATCCACATGAGACAGACAACTCCAGAAGATCGGGAGCGAGTGTGAGTGAAACACGTTCCAGTGGGTCTTAGAGATTGCAGGAATTAGATCAGCGAGTTTAGTGGATTTTTTAGGTTGGATCATACTAAAAGTTCTTATTGTCTATAGTGAAAGTTATTGACTTGGTCCCGAAATTTTTACCCAGTTAAGGATTTTCTCCGTCATCAACTTTTGTGTTATTTACTGCTTTAATTATTTATTACGGTAATTCAACATATGATAATATGACTTGGTTGGCTCAATATC